TTCCTCCCTCTCCTCCCCCTCCGTCCCCGCGTCTCGTGTGGCGACCGAAGTTTCCTCAAAAGTGATTCGATTCCTGGAGAGAGAGAAGCGAGGGAACTTCTGGGCAAGTCTGGTTGTTGTTGTTTTTAATTTTCTCCTTCCTGTTTTCTTTTCGTTTTTTTTTTTTCTCTCTCTCTCTTTGGATAGTTTTGTTATTACATTTTGAGAGTGGGGAGGGGGGTGGGGGTGTCGCATCGGAAGGTCACACCTGTCCCGTGCACTGGATCGGGGGTGGGAGGGGAGGGGTTGTATTTGTTTTATTGTTGTTGTTGTTGTTGTTGTTGTTTTGTTGGGAGGAACTATTATCTTTATAGAAAAAAAAATTTATTTGAAAGTTTTCTTTTGAGGACAAGTACATACATTTTTTTTCTCAGACAAATCGCATTTCCCTCTTCTTCTCACTCACTTCTTCTCACTTCCTGCATGCCGAGAAGTGAATTTTTTTTCCCCTTTTCCCGGCGTGTGGAGCGTGGGAGCGAAGGGGGTTGCCGCCGGCTTTCTTTCGGCCGATTTCCGTGTCGGCGAGAAAGGGAATTCGCGGTTCCTGCCGAGTGCCCTTCAGGATGTTCGGGGGGGGGGGGGGGCTGGGACGAACAGCGTGCGATGGGATTAAAGAAGAGAGGGAGAAGGAGGAGTTGGGGGGGGGAGGGAGGGAGAGGGAAGAGATGATAGGCTGAGAGTGAGAATTAAGGGAGGGGGAAATGTGACTGAGAATGAGAAAAAGAGAGAGATAGAGGGAGAGAGGAGGAGAAACATGGAGTTGGAAATACATGAAGATATACTGAGAGAAAGAAAGAGAGAGACAAAGACATAAAGAGAGCAAGAGACAGACAGACACAGACACAGAGAGAGAGAGAGAAAGAGAGACAGACAGACACAGAGAGAGATACAGACAGACAGACAGACACAGAGAGCGAGAGAGAGAGAGAGCAGACAGGACAGAACAGACGACACACACACACACACACACACACAACAAGAGAGAGAGAGAGAGAGAGAAGGAGAAGAGAGAGAGAGAGAGAGAGAGAGAGAGAGAGAGAGAGAGAGAGAGAGAGAGAGAGAGGAGAGAGAGAGAGAGAGAGAGAGAGAAGCAAGACGTGGCCCAGAGACCTCGTTCCGTCAGCGGCGGCTCGAGAGGGCGGGCGGCGTCTGCCTCGGCGACTTCCGCCCAGCGCGAGGCGGCGGCGGAATAAATGGGCGCGCGAGTCGGGCCCAAACGAGGCCGCGGGCGGGGAAATGGCGCCGCGTCACCATCTGATCGCGGGGGGATTCGTGGGCGTGAGTTTGATTTCGTTTCGTGAGGAAGGGCGGGAGAGGGGAAGCGTCCGTGCCTTCGTGCCATGACCGTGCGGGCGCGGGCGCGAGCGGGCCTGCGGTCGGCCGTCGGCATTTGCGTTTTGTGAGTTCCGATTCGTTGGCTTAGGCTCGTCCGGCGTCGGCCCGGAGTGCGAGGCGCGTCCGGCATCAGAATGCGGAGCCGCCTCGCGCTCCGCCATTACGCGCCTCGTCACGACCCAGCACGCTCGTCGCCTCGCCCGCGCACGCAATTTGCCTCGCACTTCCACGGGGACGTTTGGAGGGAGCCTCGCTGGGAGCGCCTGCGGGCGTTGTGTGTGGCGCGTTTGTTTGCGTGTAATTGGGACACGTGTGTGTGTGTGTGTGTGTGTTGTGTTGTGTGTGTGTGTGTGTGTTTGGGCGTACATGCGTGTGCACACGAGGGGCGCGCGTGTCCGTCCCTCCTCCCTCGGCGGCGCGAGCGAGCGAGTGCGAGTCCTCCCCTCTGGCGGCCGGGTTGGCTCTGACCAGCTGGGCGATCAATGCCGCTCCACACCCAGCTCGCTCGCTCTGCTGCTGCTGCTCCTGCTGCCGCTGCGGCCCTGCTGCTGCTGCTGCCGCCGCTGCCGCTGCCGCCTGCTGGCCCCTGGAGGAGCGGCGCCCTTTGGAGGGACCGGGCGGGGGCGCGGGGGGGTTCGCGGGCCCTTCCTGCGTCGACGGAAAAGGAAGGTCGTGCTTATTTATTTTTCAAAGGGGGGGGGGGGGGATCAGCTGGGCGAGTGGGCGGGGGGAGTCGCGCTCTGATCCGATTGTGGGCGTCGCCGAAGGGAGGGCGGACGCGGTGCCTCTGGACTCGATTCGTGCCTGGTAACTGCACCACGACTGTCCGCGGCACGCGAGCGCTCATGCCAGCCTCCAGCGCACAACACACAGCACGTGCATACATGTGTGTGTGTGCGCGTGTGTGCGTTTACGTGTTTAAAACTTAAGAGCCGTGTACGTGTTCTGGCGTGCAAGAAGACCCCCCCCCCCCCCCTGGTGGTCGTTGCAGCGCGATGGACGGGCGTAAAGCACGTGGAGTCGGGGCGGTAAAAAAAAAAACTTCCGAGCTTTGAACTTTTTTCCCCGTGGCTTTCTAAAGCAGAGAAATATTTCCAGCGGGAGGTCGGGCTGGGGCGAGGCGAGG